CAGACACAAGGGTAGAAAAAAGGTGAGGTGGGTACTGTGAAAGTGATGGAATATGACATACAGTGGGGTGATGGTAGTTTGAAGTCAGAAGTCAACTGTCAGTTAATAGACTCTTTTGCCGTGTTATTATACGTTGCCCAGAGTGCACCACGTGGAGGTAAGTCTATCGCACACCCCCTAGGGTTACTCCATATTTAAAGATAGGATGTGGCATAGCATGACTTTCATCGAAATTGCGAATAAAGTTATTCAGAAATAAAATAAATAGAAGTAGGCAAGAGGCTTGAACACACCTTTCCTTCCCGTTCTATTTCGGCCATTTCAGGAGACGTTAGTGCTCTCACATTAGTAGCCATCTAAATCCCTGGTAAAGTTTTGAAATTAAATAGACCCAATTAATAGCGCACCCATAGCCACAAAACACACAAGCATATGTATATATTTGAATTGAGAAAAAGAAGTCCGAAAGTGTAAAAAAAGTTTTATTTCCACGTCAAAATGTAAGTAAAATGTACATGTAAATGCAGATGGCGGGGACAGCGGAGGTAAATTCCAGGAGGGGTCTAAAAGGAACGCAAAAAAGTGGGTTTTGGACAGCCATTGCACTTGACAGATACACCATTAAATCATGGCCTAATATAAAACGATTTTAAATTGACGGCTAAATTAATAAATTGTTAGATTTCAAATAAAAACGATGTCAAAAGAATGAAGTGAATTAAAAAAAACAAAGGACCATTAAGAACCAAAAACATTCCAAAGAACACATAGTTGCAAGAAAAGGCGAAACAATTGCGATCTCTGTAAAATCAATCCATCATCAAGAATATCAGATATCAGCTGATCTAAAATGAGAGGGCTATTTATAAGAGCATACCCCAATATGATCAAAAGGGATCAATCAAGACAAAGGGAATCGCCGAATTGTAGATGTTATAATGACTTTAAATACATAGTAATTGAACCCCCCCCCTTCCTCCTGAGTCAAAGGATTGAAAAAGTTGGTGATACCTGCATGTTAGCAAAAGTTGGAAAGTACTAACGACACTGGTTTTAAGGATCCCATAGTTCTCATCCACGCTAGCTTTAACTTTTGCAAAACGACAATTATCACGAATATTTACCAATTCCTCGTAAGGATAGACAAAGATACTTAAATAAGAATTCAGTGAATTCTAAAAACAATGTAACAACACGCGGAAAGCGAATAGAGCCTTCTAAGGCTTCTGGGATGCCTCCATCATTAGTAAGCTGCTAGCTGGGATCATTATATATCCGACCACTCCATGCCATAAAATGGCAGTCAAGACTTGGTTGAGAGCTTGGACACATTCATTCAGGAAGGGTGAAAGGGGCTGTGCCTTATGCGACCTTTTCCGAAGATGACTCATAATCAAAGAAATTTTAAGAATATGCTCTAAGTTTAAAGTAAAATACACAAGTCGTTTCAAATAGGGATAATCAGTGCTCTCTAATTTCGGCCTTGAAGTAAGATCCAAGTTTTTGAGGTGAATATGCTCATTTGAAGAGACTATTGAAATAACAATAAAATCTAATATTATTTGTAAGAACCAGCATGAGAATTAGGATTTACTGAACGTAGCTGGGATTGAAGTGAAAGTTTATTGTTCGCGGTAAGAACAAGAACCTGTGCTTTTTCACCTTCTGGTTCGGATACCAGATTGCGTAGTGTGGAAGTTGGCGACGAAAGGGTGAAAAAGGGAAAAAAATTAATGATTATTCAGAAAATATCATTTAATATTGAGAAATTGAAGCATATCCTGACGAATGAATTAATTCAGAAGAATGAGTAACAAAGTTTAATCGAAAAAACTGGATGACCCGTGCGTACCGTATAATTGTTTCTGTTGCATTTCATTTTCTTTGTTAATTCAAAAATCATTCCAAATACCTACTCAGTTCTAGCAACAACAACGACGAGAACAGGAGAAAACGGAGGCAAAAATGAAGGATGCAAGTATAAAGTATAAATTATAGTCGGCAAGGTGAGAGAACCAACATTTAACTAGAAGAAGGATTTGGAAGGGGAATGATATGCGTAGAATAATCTACCTGAAAGAGCTACTAAAGTGAGGATTCTGAAATAATAATGCATGCGACGGTCGCTGAATTGGAACAAGAATCGAAAGTGACTGCTATCAAAAAAGCAACGGAGATATTAATAAGAAATTCATAGTATAGTGCGCCATTACAGGTATTGTAACAGCTAATAACCGAACTATGGAGTGAATACGTTTAAAGAACGATCCTAATTTCAATCAGCACAATACCTACATTTAATATAAAAAATTATCATCAATTGGGAGGTGCGTTGGCATTGGTATGGAGCGTTAGAGTAGAAGGTGCTTCCTGTGCTTGGGAAGTTTGATCGACAGACGGAGTTGAGGTAGTTATTGAGGAGGCAGCAGTAAATCGACGACGAGGTGTAGAATTTGGTGATGGTAGTTTGGGAGGAGAGGGATTCATCAGAATTGCCTGCAGACCTGGAATTTCTTCTGGCCATGATTCACAATAACAATGCATCTAAAGGAGATTGAAATTAAATTAGTTGCTACTTAAATTATCTAAAAGTATATTGGAGTATAGAAGATTTAAGTTAAAAGATTTAAGAATAAGGAAGCATATTAAAAAATAGGATGCCACTCTGCAATGGTTGGCTAAAATTAGAGGAACTGTGAACCAAATATCGTGAGCACGAGGTTAATACATTATTTTATATTGCACCATGAGTTTTTTTTAAATGACTAGCGCAAATAAATGTACAAAAAATTTCAAATAAAAATAACGGCGGTAGAATCTACTGAAATATATAAGTAGGAGTTATAGACGATGAATGAAAAAGTCAGTGTACCAAAAAAATCGATAAAACATGGCTTAAAACAAGAGCCCGCAAGACATTTTTGAATGAAGTATTGAAGATAGATTGCTTAAAAGTATGGGAAATAACTGTATGAAGAGAAAGTCATCGACATCAAAAGCACTGAAAAAAGACGATTCTGGTTTTCAAGCAAAGCCGAAATTAAATCAATCCTCAGTAGAGCATCTTGACATTTCACCCAACCACAGTGAAATAGAAGACGCTTCCACACAAACTGAACTTGACTCAACTAAAATTAACCATGCAATAATACTGGATATTCTATCCAAAGACACATTCTGTTTCCATCAAGCTTCAAATACTAACGATTTGGAAACCCAAGATCCTATGAGCGAATCAAAGCGCCCGAAACGTCAAAACGCCTTCCGGTTTGAGAAGAAACAAACGAACATCTTACCAGGAAGATTATGTGATACTGCCACACAAACGTTTCAACACATACAATCAAGTTGTTTCGTTGTATCATCAGATATATCTTTCAATGCAGTTAATGAATTTCAGACACTAGAAGAAAGAGCCTTCGAAATAGAGCTTTTAAATGATTGGAATTTGCAGCTTCTTAAATCGGAAAGAATTCAGATTTTGCAAGCCCCATCACCAATCCCACTGTATAATAATAATTGGAATGAAAAGCAAGAGAACTTACAAATTAAAGATGAGCGTGAAATCGTATCAGATAATACAGACTACCAAGTTGTAAAAAAAGATGAGGAGACAGATCCGAAATGTCCGCGTTCAGAAGTTTCAATGACTTATAACAATGGCAAGAAAGGATTTCAAGAATTAAGCTGTTGTGGTGACTTTGAGTCAAATTGGAACCGCGTAGAGATCAGTCAGAAATTCTGGTTGACTTGCGAAAGAATTCAAGTGAATAAATATGAAGTGATCGATGACGCTTAATATCAACATGAAATACACGTGTAGCATAGTACTAAAGCATTCACAAATAATATTTATACTGATTTATTTTGAGTACCATTGTTTAAAAGAAATATTAACATAAATCGTCCATATTTTTACCATTATTATTATGAAGCAAATAACCCAGGCAGAATATCCTTGGTTAATTCATTAATAGCTATGAATACCAACTTAAGAACATGTGAAAATAAATTATTGAACTCAGTTCGGACAGAAACTGCCAATCAGAGGCGTTTCAGGATGACTTATAATAGGTAAAATATTATTGGTACGCCGATGGTGTAGTGATCAACGCGTACGCCTGTCCGGTGGTGTTGTTAACTGATCACCCTAGTTGATTCTGGCCAGCGAGGAGTGACATGATTGGACTTCCTCGTAAAAGCGATTCTAGGATACCTTCCACCAACCCAACAGATGCGACTGATTAACTTTGATTAGCAAAGAAGGATAGAATATGATATTCTCAAATGAACAGCCCCACAATGTAATTTACATCAATGACGATATCATTTGAAGGTTATTAGCATAGACTAATCTACTTAACATAAACAATGCAGTAAAATAGGAAAGACAACTTACAACGGCCAGTACTTCAGCACACATGGTGCCAGCAATGTGATGAATAGAATGGTCACGATTATTGTACATTCGAGCATTGGCGAACATGAGAAGAAGATCATGAAGGAGTTGTTTCACGATACTCGACACGGTCTGCTGAATTGCGGGAGTGGTGCTACTACTTTCCTCTCCAGCAGCCACTACGAGTCTAGCATCGAGATTGCGTTTAATGGTGGACAAATCCATGGGAGAGTGAATCATAATGGAGTAATGTGGAGCGATCTCGTCCGTCACGGGTTGACTAAAAATGTGGGAATGACGGTGGTTGCTCGCAGGGGTGAGAAGGGATTGGACAGCGCGTCTCCAACGCCAACGACCATGTGGGGAATTATTAGAAGCTAAAAAGGGTTGGTAAGTAGAAAAATACATTTCACCACAAATTGAAGTAAACAGGCCATACTAAGCTAACACTAAAAAACACAAAAGATCTAGACTAATATGCATCCCTTGCCCATAAAAGGAAATCAACTCTTGAGTCGCGTTATCAACTTAAAGTGAGCCAATGAGCGACAAATTTGTGGCACAACTTAAGCCCTATGCCACTGATATAGACCGTGAATAGTGTACAGCAAATAGACAATACCAAGCAACGGTGATTAGGACATATATAAACCTAGTTAGCCATCTACAGAGCAACACTTAAACTTACTGAGGCATTAAATTCAATCGCTTAGCTTTCAACAAAAAAAAGAGCAAAAGGGTAGAAAGCGGAGGGACACGAACAACTAAGGGGGAAAACACCACATTACCCAAAGGAGCATCAGAAGGTGGAGCTTGCTGAGATCCATTGCGATTTTTTAATCGATTTGCCAATCGAGACGAAGTAGCCGAAGGCGGTGGGTGCTCCAATTTTAAAGCAGATGATGCAACAGGGGCAGAACGTTTTTGGGCTCTGTTAGGGGTTGCCTGCATGTCATCAAGATCGATTGAAGGGGGAAAAGCGGCGTGGACTTTCGTCGACGAACCATCAACAGAGACTGCAAGAGGTTTTTTAATTGCTGTGATATTCGATACACGGCGAGGGGTTCCAATGGTCTGCCGTAAAGGCGGTTTCGCATCCATCTACAAAAAAAAAACAAAATTCTACCTTCTTACAACTAGGAAGGAATTCTCTGCACATGAGCAGTCTACTAAAACAATTAGAAACTGATCCTTCACAAATGGAGGTAATTAAATACCACCTGTATATTCTAAATTAAGAAAGAAACTTCAATCATTTTCTTGTGTAGGAGAATTTACCTATTATTACCTTGCCTAAAAAGGCACATTAACCTAATCTGTTATAAATAACAGATAAGACTTGAGAAATAAACAAAAAATTCCACAAACAAAAATCCCGAATAAAAACCGAAATGCTCACATTCGACATTTTTCTAGGAGAAGGGGGGGTAGAGGTTATGTCTATGCCATCTTTAACTTCCAAATGAACATTTTCATCATCATCTTCAGTAGCAGCGTGTTGATCAGGAGATTGATCACCAGATCGGGGGCGTTTGAAGAAATTGCGGGCTTCTTCTGCTGAGGCAACGGGGATCCAAAGATTGCCCTGATCGTCAAATACTCCTCGATGGAGACCCCGTTCGATCAGTTTTCCCCGACGATACTCTGCTCTGAGGTTTCGGTCCTCTTCAGGATTTGCAGGAAGGGGATCAAGATTCAACACTTCAGCAATAAGGTCTCTTTTACCGAAAGCACGCAATCTTTTGCGGAAGATAAGCCGACTTTCCTCTGATATTTCAGAATACCGACCTTCTTCAAGCAACTTATTGTCTCGTTCCTGTTGACTGTAGGAAAAAAATATGAATTGAAAAGATTACACTGGAAAATAGGAGGTAAATTGAAAACAGCAAATCTAAACATACGCTTCTATTCTTGTTAATTCGTTAGTTTTTTCCTCAATTATTCGCAACCTCCGTTGACAATAGTCATTGAATGCAATCTCCAAAAGTTGCTCCTCAGTGAGAGAGACTGTTCTATTAAATTGAAATTATCAAGACGGAATTATAGAGGAACCTACGATTCGGATGGAATAGCAGATGCAATCAAATACTTGTATTGAATTGAAAGTTCCTGGAAAATACAAATAACGCTATAATAATCGATACCTGTTCATTGAAGTCCTTCTTCGGCGCTTCTCTTTGGAATTGGTCAATAAGAACTTTAAGAGTCTTTCTAATCTCAGTCCAGTTCTTGCCGTAGAACTTAACACATTTCAAAAGGTAGCAGTTAATGGCATCATTCCACGTCATTTCAAACCTATAAGTGTTTTAAAAAGTGATTACCAAGATGATTCGTATGAAAAACGAGAAATGCTAGCGACGGAGAACTAAACATTATCTACTAAACGAAATATACTCTGATTTGGAGAATGCCTAAGAAGTAAGATTTTCAAAAAGATATACCAGACTTTTAAATTTTAAGAAATATAGCAGTAGTGTTCGAAAGATAAACAAAATATTAATTTAATTGAGCTTAAATCAATGTAATAAAAGCACTCACAAGATATTGCCGCTATACACAAGCCCTTAGTGTGCGAAGCAAACCGAAACTAGGCTAAGCAGCGACCACGCCGACCAATAGGAGAACTTAGTGCTTAAATGCTCCCAATCATATCGACGAATGGTAATGTAACACACTGATAAAGTGACTACATATGGGACCATTCGTCTAGTCAAATAAATGAAAAATGTCCTATCCCCTATTTCTATTCCCCTTCAATGTTCAGAATCTCCTAGTAATTTTTTATACCATCACTCTGGTCTCTATGTAACTTATCTGTAATTGAACCCTCTATCTATGATCAACCTTCCTTGCACTATCAAGCAGCTTTCTAAGTGCAAATAACTCGCACTTTAATTAACAGTTCAAAATAATCAAATGAATGTGAATAGTGGAATAGTCTGCAGAAATGCTGATGATGGCTTTTAGTAGTGAACCAGAAGTTAGAACTTTTTCCAACTGGATAGAAGCGAATAAGTTTATTGAAGCTGTTGCCCACAAATGCGGTAACGGTCAGCAATTAAATAAGATCCTCTTCTTTCCCCATTGATGGCCTTGCCCTTGAAACATAACTGTAAACCTTGAGCTAGCATACATGGGGATTTCGTCAAACATTTAATTAGTCTCTCATATCATTTTCGTGGTGGATTTGAATATAAAGTTGTCTGAAATAATTCCATCACAGCCTTCACCATGCTTTTTAAAAGTATAGGCTACATTAAGTGAATATCAATTGCCAAGGCTACGTGAGTCATCGGAATAATCTTTCCTCGGGTACTCAGTAACTTCATCAGACTCATATCATTTGGAATATTCTACGAAACATTTAAAATTATTTCAAAACAATATCATGGGGGCATTTGATTAAAATTAGGAATATCGGGATCCAAAAGAAACTAAGGTAACGAGCGGACACGTTTTTATGTTGTTAATGCTTACTAGTTGTGTGTCCTCACTCTTTTTTTAATTTCGGAAATATATTGATACCTAGTTTTGGTATCTACGGGCCATTTCGAGAGGGACAAATATTAGCGATGTCCAATGCAAATTTTGATTTTTAATTAGTTAAGGTAAGCTTAGTCTTCTATAATCTTAAACGATTATTTCAACATCTAGGCGGGCGCAAGGGAAATATCTATATCGCATAATACACAAATAAGCCTTAACCACACATCAGTAATCCTTTGACGAAAGCTTCTACTGTAAATTTACTCCTGAAATTAGCTTAGATTTCTCAATATTAGAGGGGGAACAGAGCGAACGGAGTGAGTAGTATTTATTAAACCTTATGGGTCACGGAAACAAAGTTAGACCTGCATTAGTGATAACGCGACTATTGATTGGTGGTCGTGTGAGACTGTTCAGACTGTTCTAGTGATAATGAGATTTCCTCGATCAAACTCAACTGCGATGTGCACTCCACTCATGTAAGGCACATTGCTTAGGTGTCTTTTACAAAATAAAATAAAGAATAATGACTTTTCAGCGCTCAACAATAGTTTGGGAAAGGTACAATTCGTTTTAATGTTTCTTTTCAGAACTGCGCGAAAATTTATAAACAAGATTTTTATAGAGAACTTTGGGCGTCTATGGACAAAAAGGAAGCTTTGTGGGACAGGTCATCACATGCATGCACGGCAGGATCTGGAGGTGCGACCGTACAACTCTCTGTGCAGACAACCGTACAACCAGTGGCAAATCAGAAGCTTCCGTCTGCTTAACCTAATCCGCCATGCTGAATATGATCAGCCCCTTTCGTGTACACTTTGCCCATATTATACTTGCTGAATGAACATGTTCCCTGCTATACCCCTGTTTCCTCTATAGCTGGGCTATAGCTTAGCTAGTTCTGGGAGTGTAGCTAGATGTAGGGGAATTTGTCACAGAGATTTCCGTGCCAGTCAGACTTAACTAGTGCAACAATCCGTTACACTTTCAACGGAGCTTAAATGGACTTTTGGCTAAAGATGATGTTAACTGACTTGTAAAAGTTAATTGTAATTGCAATTTCTTCCTCCAGCAGAATATTTAAAAAAACAACCTGCAGGGAAAGCGATGCGAGTTTCGAAGGTTGACAATAATTCCAATCGACTTCGAAATTAAACGCCGAATCCAGTGTCGTCTCTTAAGAAAAAAACAAGTTTTATCGATAATAGATTCTGGAGGC